ACCACCTACCACCTACCACCTACTACTTGCTACTACCACCACTACCACTACCACTACCACTACCACTACCACTACCACTACCACCACCATGCTACCCTACTCTACCAGGACGACCACCGCCACCACCACCTGCTCCTAGTCCTTCTACTGAGGCTGCCAACTCTGCTGCCACTACTACTACTACTACTGCTGCTGCAGGTACTACAACTACCACCACCACCACCACCACCAGCACTCACCACTAAACCGACTGCCACGATCCCAGAAGAACTGAAGGCTAGAGTCGCGACTCCTGATGATGTAGCCAGTTCCGGTGCTCCGAAGCTCCAAAGAAGTCGCAAGAGGAATGCTTTGCACCGAGCTGTAAGGGAGTCCAGAGGTTTTCCCAGAGAATCCCTGGCCTGACCGGGCGCCAACTTCGCGGCGCCAAGAGTCACACCGGAGATGGGAACCTGCGAATGAGGGGCAAGCAAGGGGCACTTCGGAGTAGTAAACTGCACCAGCGGATGTCAAGCAAAGAAGCCAGAGCAGTCTGTGATGAACTTTCTACGGTTGCGGCACAGCCCGAGATCCTTTTGAAACCCAGCGCCAGTTGCCCGATCAAGTGAAACCGAAGTTTCATCCGGAGCACGAGCCTCGTACCCTCCCGTCTTCCTGAGCCAGCAGCTTGCATTCACAAGATCTCTGGACTGCTTGCGTTTGAACGTCTGCACCTTTCTAGCACACGGCAGCACAACATCTGGGCGAGACTCCCCCAACTTCCATCGATGTCCATCTCGGTGGCTGGAGGTGGGAGCAGAAAGTCATCTGGCAGACCTGAGCTAAGCGGCTAAGCCTTCTAAAGCAAATCAATACAAGTGAATTCAAACTGGAAGAAGCTGTGTACCCCCCACGGTTGTCCCGCCCAGTCTCCTACATCGAGCTAAGATTCTAAGACGCTGGGCAATTCACCTAGATTTTGTCGATTTCGGCTATGCAAAGCTGTTCAGGTTGCCAAACCCATGTCCTGCCCACAGAAGGCATGCCAGCTTGTGAGGACGAGCTCTGATGCACTTCGAACAGCACAAGTGAGAACGAGGCCAAACTGCAGCTCGGCCGAGTCGCCTCGAGCGGTTGCGAAGTTTGCATCTGCTTCGAGTCGTCAAACATTTCTTTAAATGGTATGGGTCCATTCAATCTTTACCGGCCGCAGGCGATGAGCAGGCGAGCAGCTTAGGCTCAGTGGGCTCTCATCCAGGGTTGCAGTCTTGGTGCTCATCTCATGAACAGTAAATTTGCCTACATACTGACCCCCGTGAATGACGGTGCATAGGTACTGCGTATGGTCTCTGACCCTTCAGCCCGTGGCAACGCGGTTTGATGACCGGCGTGGCGGGAACTTGCCTGAGATGTGTTTTCAGCCCGAGTACGCGGGGATTCCAAGGTGCGATTGCTTGTTCACAACTCCGTCTCCGTGGATCTGAACATTCGACTCCCTTTGACTGCTAGAGTCACTGTTGAAAAGCTGCGTGCCTCATGTGCCTCGCCTGAAACATACCTGCTTCCTGCATCGACGTAGAGGTTAGTATTTGAGCAGTTCTGGAGCACTTCGGATCAGTCGAAAGAGGTTCTCACTCTTGCACATGGCTGCAGTCAACAGTTCTTAAAATGCATGATAACTCCTGCACGCAAACTGTTCCGTCGTAGTCCATCGCTGCTATGGGTGCTTAGCGGCAGTGCCATGGTCGTCGGAGCCTGAGCAGTGCGAGCACTAGGTTTGCTGTCAGTCACGGAACGCCGAGCGACAGTCCTGCGTTGCTAACCGGGGCGCTTGTGTCTAGCGTAGGCCAGATGTCGGGGCGGACGGTGGCACCGCGAACTTCGTTTGAAGCTTGAGCCACCGTACGGAATGCAACAGGTACCTGAGAACCTACTCCCTTGTCCTTCTTGAGTCCTGCCCGAGCTTCCATAGACTCTACACCCGATGCACAGCCCTGGCGAGGAAGATTGGGCCTACCAAAATGCACATCGAGGTCGGTTGGAACTCACGGCAATATACGTAAAACCAGGTGAAATGTCAGGAATCACAATCTAAAGTAGCATGCGGTCATGCAGCTTTGACGCTGCTCGAGCGACGTTACAGGAATAGATAGGAATAGATCCTCCACAGCCCGCCCCATCTTGGCCCAACTGTTCCACTTAAAGCCCCTTGCTCTGCTTAGATCTCTTTAAGCCTCTATAATGAAACCCTGAGTGCACAGGAGCTGCAGCACAGTTTGTTTAGCCTGCAACAAACACCCTCCCAAATCCCTTAGGCTGCCTTAGGCTCGTCCAGACCTGGGTCAGTCCAAATCAGTCCAAGAATTTCTTTGCTGTGCACATGTATTTCCAAAGATTCATCTGCGTTACGATTTTCGTGGGAGCAGAATCCAATCAACCCTTCCTAATCCTCACACTACTGTAGCCTGTCGTCCCCCGGATCTGTCGAGATGATGCAAATCCGGTGCGACCTGCAGGATGATTCACGTTTGGGGTTTGGCGAGTGTGCACAGGGCATATATACTGCGGGTTGCGTTTGAGAGATGCTGGCAGCAAGAAACCACCATCAAGACCTAGATAACGCGTGGCCACATTTGAGGCAATCTGCAGGTTTGACTTCCGGAATGCTGTCCCATGCTGTCCCCTTAGATTTTCTCAGCCCGAGGCTCACCAAGTTTACCAGCAGTACCTACCCATGTCGCCTTACAGCTCCTGCGTCGCCATGAACAAGAAATCTGCAAACCTTACATGAAAACCACGAAGCGCTCTTCAACCGCCTGCAAGACCCATACCATCCCATACCTCTCCCCAAGGCGGCGGCAGGCGTGGTATGGACGAAGGCCCAAGCTGCTCGCACCGGCATGTCTCGTGGTTTGGACCTGATGAAATCTGATGAATGATGACTTTGATTCGGTAGGCGAGGTACCTTCCCGACCCCCGTGGAAAACAAACAGCACGCGTCACAACGATGTAAAGTCGCTCGCGCAGAGCTTCAGCACGCTACGTTGCAAAACGTTGGATGCATGGTGAGCTAAGCAGCAGACTGCCGCCATCGGGACAAAACCTCATAGCCAGGAACGCCAACCCCTATGTTTCAGGCAGCATGCCAAGTATACCAGGAGCACATATGCAGGGCCAGCAATCTCGATGCGGCCACGTCACGAAAGACTGCACGGATGCCCAAAACCGAAAGGGGATGCAGCCTCAGTGGGGCTCAGGATATGGGTACGAGGCCAACTGACAGCAACATAAACATGCCCAAACGGTGCTAAGACTGCTAAGAGAACTGCGTGGATTTCATCCTCCACGTAGCCCAAGATCTCCCAAAGCTGTGGCGTCTGCAGCAGCGTGCTATGTGCCTCGTGCTTCGAACGGGGGTAAAGCGGTTTTTTTCCGTCCATTTCCGTCCAACCGTTAAAAACATCACGGTTTTCTGGGGAGCTGACGCAGGCCACGCGGGACATCAAGTCCGCGACGTGGACCCTGAAGGGGTTCTTGCATCGTCTTCTGGCCGAGTACAGCTTCAAGCGCAATCGGCCGAACTCTGAATTCCGGAATGCTCCACATGCTGCTGTGGCCCGCACAAGCTACAGCTGCATGGCACTGTACGGCATGAAGCAACTCAAGACCGCAGGGTACGCCCAACGCGAAACAAGCGATAGCGAGAAACCGCAAAGGTGAAATCAGGCCCGTCAATTCCTGGACTGCGGTTGGAATGGCTGGGTTACCAGCCCTGTAAGGTCCAAGCTCTGTCATTGTGAGGTACAGGTACGCTTCATGCAACCTTGGCTGGCGCGAAGAGCATTCCTTTGTTTCGTGCATGTGCTTCGTCTTCAGCCCAGGAGCTGACCCATCCTGGCCATGGCGACAGCCTCGGTGTGCGCGTTTAGCGCTCTGTGCAGTGCCGTCCAGGGAAAATCAAGGAACCGCTTTCAAGCTACGATGTCTACCACATGATGCGTGACGTAGCAACAAAGTCCAAATGGGCACCCTTCTGCCTTGTGTGGAGGGATGTGGAGGGTCAAGTTCCGGCAGTTTCAGGATTTGCTACCCTCCCGTTCAAAACTTCGTCAAAAGCCGCAACAGTGACAATCATTGTCGTTTAACTGTGCGAACGGCGTCCTGCGCGCCCGCCTCAGGTTTGCGGCACAATTCATGACGCGGATTGTGGCTTTGCCTATGCACGAGCTCCACGGTGATGGATGTTCAGGCCAATGTGCACAGCATTTCGCCATCATGCCGCCGCAGAAAACGCGAAAAAGCCTATCTAATCCGACAAAATACGCAACACGTATGATCACAACAACTTTAGCCAAAGTCAACATGGCATGGTGGCACAGGAACAACAAAGTAGGCAGCCGGAGCACGACGAAACGGGGAGCCAAGAAGCTAGGCACCAGCAAGAATGCCGAATGCAGAAAGTCGACAGAAAACAAAGATAAAATGATGCCCGCGACAGGCAACTGCATAACCTTGCTTGCGGTTCTTCACTGGGCTCGGCTATGGCATGCTATGGCATTGGGCGCAGACTGGGCAGGGGTCTGGGAACACAGGTCAGTCTACCGGTCCAGTTTGGATAAGGGCCTCCAAACAGCGGACTATCCGACAATGCTGCTTCATGCCGTCTGCAACGTTCGCTGAAGCTCTCAATCCCTTACAGGCTTTTGGATCAAAGCTTCTTGGCCCCAGCGGCACAGGAGGCTGCACCCAGCGCAACAGCACCAACACCACATCGCCGTCGTGCGAGCCGAGGTGTTCCTGTGGCGGTCCACATCCTCAGGTGTCAGGTGATGAAATGTTCTGCCTGAGACGTCGAACTGTGGGAAAGAAACGCCTTTCGTCCTTGAAGAGTTCAGGATGTCAGGTTGTGTCGGCTACGAGAAAATCCGAGCCCCTTGCTGCCTTGCTGCTGGGCTTGCTCGGTATCTGAACTGATTGCTGGGGCTTCCGCTCCATGGCCAGCGCTCGCAGATGCTCGGAACCTGGGGAAAACATGTACTAGCATTTCTATAATTTCTATACAGACACCCTCAAAGCTGAATTGATCGAAATGACGAGCATAAAGTAGTACTATTGCCATAATTGCCTTTTAGGTATGGGAGCCTTGTTTTGAATTGCCGCTGCTCGGCACGCTGTGAGCTAAGCGCTGTCTATGCAGTGGCTGCAGTGTCCTCGTCGTCGTCGGCATGGTCGCCGGAATGTTCCTCAGCATGATCCTGCATGTGGTCCGCAGCATGGTCCTCGGCATCTACTTGGGCGTGATCCTCCACATCTGCCTCCGCGTGGTCTTGCATGTGGTCCTCGGCCACGGCATCTGCCTCCGCGTGGTCCTCGGCATCTGCCTCCGCGTGGTCCTGCATGTGGTC